CACACATTTTGCACAATCCGCTTTAAAATACTTCTTTAAAGACTGCTCGATCAATTTTGCGTCAATAATTATCTCTCCATTCAGATTAGAAGATTGCGGTGATGTACGTGGCTGCTCAGCTTTTAATTCTCTCGGAGCTTGAACCACTCTCGCAAACAGACAGGATCATTTCTTCCTGTCTCCCAATTCGTCGCAGTGCTGATGTTGCATTTAGATATTAGTGTTATATGTCGGGCAACTATCCAGTTTATGGAGTCCTACACCCCGTCTCATTATCTACAGCTCAATCGACTGTTCATTCAGTGTTTGCTGTTATTCTTACTTACCCCGTCAACATTTTGCTAGAATGAAGTCGTACAAGGGGTTCGACGTACCTTTGGCGTTCACTTTCTTTACCTGTGTATAATTTTATGCCAACAAATATTTCCGCCTCTCGATTTTTTCCGCTCTCGTCTAATAGAAAGTATGGCTGGCCGTACTTGTGAAATTGTCGAGAAAGACAAGGACTATCACACTATTGCACCCGCTGCCTGTCTAGACTGTGATGTGTGGGTCACCCAACTTCCCTTGAATAATTAAGACCTCCCCAACGAAATTCATATCGTGTGCTGACCGGACACATGGCCGCTGAAGATTTGCTCCCCGTCACGAGTTCTTCAGCCTGCTCAGTGTTTCTAGACTCAACGAAACTGGGTAAGTTATTAGACACGATGCCTGGAGATAGAATGTAAGTATTTGCTGGTTGTGTTAGGCTATATGCCCAGGCTTTTTACAGTACCGGCAAATCAGTTGTCTAGGTGATTGTGTGTTGGTCCAACAATTAGCCGCATTAAGCTCAGCTTCGCTGAGAAAGAAACATATATTTTTTTATTTCAGTCACTGAGTTGCGTCATTAACCCTGACTCTTTATAGGATCTCCGGCTTCCTCAAGCATCATTCCTTGTTGTTTTTTTTTACACATGGCTGTGAACTTGCGACTCCAAATAGCTCCTAAACTGCCTTCAAAAGACGGCAGTGTCGTGCCCTATAAAATGGGATGGCAACAGTTCAGAAGTTATTCCGATTATATTTTTACCTCGTAAAACCTCAAAGGCTTTGTCCCGTCCTGTCATCTGGAGCCACGGGTAAAACAAAACACGGATCAGCGGGCGGAAGAGTGCCTTCCGGTTTCACCTTGTACGGGTTTAGCATTCCGAAAGATGTCCATATACCATTCTCTTGTGCAGCGGAAACGCTGGAGAATGACGATTTTCAGTGTGGAAAAATCCAAGTATTGAGTTGGTGTGCAACACTCTGCGTCTGACGCGTCTCTGGTTAAACATAGGATCACCTCCATCACACACTTGCTGCCACTGCTGACTTGTGGCAACCCGCTCGAGTCTTTAATGGTACGAGTCCAATTCGTCCTGTTTCTCGTCAAATAGGGCCATCAACTTGTCGCGGCTCAAGCGGGATAGTGTTGGAAGAACACCGTTTCCACACCCAGCTGGTATGAATCGTGGACAACATGCTGAAGGGCATCCCTGGAGTGACTTGCTAGTTGGACGATGTGCTAATTCCGGGCAAGACTCAAGAGGAGCACCTTGAAAGCCTGGGGGAGGTGTTCAAGAGGTTCGATGAACGGGGTGTTCGCATCAAGCGCGAAAAGTGCGTGTTCTTCTAAGACCAGCTCGAGTACTTGTGGCGTGTGATAAGCCGTAAAGGAATTCGCACGTCCGATGAGAAGCTGGCTTCCAAAACCCTATTGCAAAACCGTACAAGAAACATACCTGCTGCTTATACAGTTCTGGTATGACACCATAATAATTTCTTGTTATTATGGTGCAGCTATTTTGGTTTCGCGTTCTGCATTCTTGGAGACGCCGGCACCGCTATGACTCCGCGTCCGTTTATACAGGCAGCCAGTTTGCTTGCCGATATGATTCGGGGTGGGTGGTATGATTTTGCGTCCGATGACATAGGCGACCGCCATCTTTCCACGCAAACGCTTATACCACAGGACCACCGGTATAACAAAGCATACAGGCAGAAAGAAGACCGACATCTTCCAACTAAACGTCCATCGTTTACCACCGGTATCGTTACATATACCATACGTCGAAACAGAACGCGTTTACATGATTGCGACTTAGTCGCATCGAATCTGTTACGTTGCTGGTTAAGCTCAGGAGGATGGTATAAGCAAACTGTTTATTATGTAACATACGGGATCATAGCAGCAGCTATGGCGATTGCTCGTCAGTTCCAAACGCAACAGCGCGTGCCACACTCTGCGAGCGTGCTCAATGGATGTCCTCTTCTTCTAAGATCAGACAGCCTCATGACATCATAACAGAATCTAGTTGTCGCATTAAATGCGGTCATGTAAACGGCATAATGCGCAAAGAATGCGCATAGCATTCAAGTCGCTAGACCGAGGTGGATCGAGATGGCGAGTGCGCATTCATTCATCCAATGTAAACGGAGGTCGCATCGCATTTTGGAACGGGAAGAATTGTGGGGAGGCGCTCGCTGTAGGAGCGAGTGAACAGCTGAGAACATGGCGGCGGCCAACCTCGTCAGCGGCGCGGAGAGTGGTCCCGCAATTTTTTCCCAAGAACAAACGCGAGCTTTTATTGCGATCATAAGTAAGCGGAATATAACGGAGCTGCTCGGTGAGGGCGCCCCTGCCCAAGCCTGGCGAAGTACGACTTGCGCGTCCGAAGGGGTCCGAAAGGCTTCGGCGCCAGCACGAACGACGCCGAGAGCTCCGAGCACTGTAGAGCACTGCTTGGTAGCGCAGAACTAGCAGCTCCTACCTCGGTGCCGTTCTTGGCTCCGCAGGCGCCTTTCAGACTCGGGGTCCGGTTGGCCCGGTCGCGATCGGCGAGGTCTGGCGCGGTGAAGCGCGGAGGCGTCCTCAAAGCTTGCGCACACACGTCGCCTCCGGTTCAGAGTATCCCAGCGGCCCGGCCTGGAGCCCTAAACGCTTGGGTTTTGATGATTCTTCCGTCTCGTAACTTCTTCCACAGCACCGAAGACAGCGGGCACGATCTTTACGTTCACTGAACGCGTCGAAAGGCCTCCACGTGCGATGCACCGGAAAACGTGGTACGGCTGGTGGCGGAACTGCATAACTTCGAGCTCTGGCACGGTGTGGCGCCACCTTCGTGTAGGTCCTGGTGCCCATTCATGGAAACGTTGCCGCGTCAGCTTCGCTCGAAGAACAAGTGGAGTCAATGCGTTGAAGTGGCTTTCATGTAAACGAGGCTATAGACCGACGTTGAGCTCACACAAATTTCTCGGTCAACTCTTCACGGCGACGCCTTGGGGCGACTAGTCTCGAATGATATGCACCACAAGCTTTCGACGGCCGCACCAGCTGTACCGCATATCAACGCCAACGTGCACGGCAACAAGCCGATCGTGACACCAAGCAGCGGATGCCGCATCGCCGGTCGACATAGACAAACGGCCCGTTGCTCGTATCGTGGGCCGTGACTCGTACCCTGCCAACTCGGCTTCTTTTCGTGACTCCGAGTCTCGTCGTCGCAACCAGCCGAAAACCCACCAGGCCGCCACCGTGGCCGGCGTCGGAGAAATGCGAAACCGAAACGTAAAGCTTCCGTCCAGTGGCTTCCACTGCCGCGGCTTTTCTAACTTCCGGCTTCCACACTTCCGGTCGTCGCAGAGATGGCGAAGATGTAGCGGTATGGGGGTCGTTGGCTCGTTCTACATTTTCGGGACAAAAGTGCCAGAAGATACCCCTCAACGCCAGACACATACCAAGCAGAGCAGCAAATCTGGTGCGAAGTCATATAAAAATGAGGTAGCTGTTCAAGACCACAGGCCGCGCATCAGACGGCAGCCCTACGTCTGGGCATCCCTTGACACTCAAGCCACGTACTAAATGCAAGGTACAAGCATTTAATTAAAATTCAGTCGAGTGATTTTTTTCTATCTTTATTTTTTTGCCATAATGGCAGTACCTCCGTTTGATCTGGCACAATTTTGGGAAACAATGTCATACTAATGTTCACACATCATAAATTCAAGCTTTTTGGGGGATCAACAGAAACAAGCCTGTTAGTTCACCTGAAGTCGGAGCATGTGGAGCAAAAGTTCGGGCTGGAGAGCCTATATACACTTGGTTTAAACTCCACCCATGCTTGATTATATCTGAATGAGAAGCATGCTGGCGTACTTTTGTGTCCCTCTACTGTAACGCACGGGAACAACGTAAAATTTAATGTATAAAGCATTTTTGCCACACCTCACGGCACACCGACCTTATGCTGCCTAAACATTAATGTTTTTTTCGGTCTTTAAATCGAGATTACCCTTTTATTGTATTTGGTTACCTTTCCTATTGAACTATCTAAGTTCGGAAGTTCGTTTAAAATGCTGGACAGGTATTTTCATGAGAAAAATCTTGATTGCATTCATTGTTTCCCGAATTAACTGAATTAAATTATTGCCCTTGGAAACAGCTTCCTGGGAACTGTGCATGTTTATTGTATATGCCATTTTCAGGTCGCTTTGTAAGGAACCTTCTGATCACTGTAATGTGTCTTTATAGTAATAATGCTGTCTAAATACTGTAAAATATATTATTGTCTGTTGTTCGATAGCTGATTTTATTATATTCTGGAATTCTTCATATAGCAGATAGAAACAAAAATTTCGACGTGTTGGCATTATCTTGGTCACGGGCGAATGCAAGGTGGACGGTGCTTGTATAAATTCTAGCCCGTCGTTCTATGTGAAATTTAGGCCGATATGGACACAAAGACCCCAGACATTAATCAGTATAATTACTGCAACATATAGGTAAAACTAATAATCTAAATTTAAAAAACAAAAATATATTTATTGAACTTTTCAGCGATCTGCAACCTTCTCCAAGAAATGGACTTTGCTAGAGACGAAGAATAGTTTTTCCTTTATTTTCTCTCGAATCTCATGTCAAACTTTGATAAAAAAAAAAAAAAAAAAACTTGCTGGCTTTTCGGTCAATAACACTAGTCATTCCCGGACAATATCCTTGACTTCAGCTCCTGCCTCAGAATTTTTCCGCTTTCAGATTTTGGTAGAGAATTCATAAAGACCACGCCGCCGTACAGGTGCTTGTGGGTCGATGTTTGACCTGCGAGCAACACAGTAACAACACACCAACAAGGATTGTGAAATAACGTTCGGCTAAATATCTGCCGCGGAAAACGGGTGCCTCGTAATAACAAATAGCTTCTCTTTATGTATTGGGCAGGAGATCGAACTATAGGGGGCGCTCTGACCCGTTTGGTTTCCCCACGCTTGGTGTTTACTCAACACAAGGCCTGTGCACATGCCGACAGGCCTTATGGGCATGGCCATGTCATCTTCTACAATAGAGCGCGGGGCGCAGTTTAATAAAAAACATACTAACAATCGACGAAGCGACGTTAAGTGCCGGATTTATCCTCAGAGAATGCGAGCTTGACCCACTTCAGCTTTTGTGATGAGCTGGGATCGTGCATGCTGCATTGTTCACGCAGGCCGAGTGGAAACAAAAGAGCCCCTCCTCCCCCTCGCCGGAGAACACGAACTCCAGCCGAACGCTGACGCCGCGTTCGGTTATGTCGGCCGAACGCTGCGTCATTGTATTTGTTGTCCCCATCCGTGTAGTTGTTAGGTTAACCGCTTGGGGCGTCACGGTCTGTCCTCCTCCCCAATATCGTTTGTTCATGAGCATTTTATTCTTCTCATGTTATAGAAACACAAAATCAACGCTTAAAAAAGAGCCGGTGCGCCTTCTCTTCTAGAGGTTGAAAAATCTTGAGTGAACTTTGTCGCCCTCCTAGGCACCATCAAACTCCCGTTAAATGTAAAAAAAAAAAAAAAAAAATCGAGGCCGATAGATTACTTACTTTCGTAGTTTATAGATTGGGGAGGGAAGGCAATGCTTGGCGGGATTGTTGTGTTAGCGTTCCGGTAAACTGCCGCCGGCGCAGCTCACCAAGTAGGAAGCGCGTTCGTGGCATAACGGTTCTCGCGTGTGTCTTTCACGCAGAAGGCCAGGGTTCGATTCCTGGCCGCGTCTACGCATTTTTCTTGACGCAGTGATGTTCTCGTAAATTCGAGAACCGTCTTGATGACACGAGGTTAGAATGTTCTCCGCACCGAACCTTCAACGCCGAATGTTCCAGAAGCCAACGTGTTTACAAAAATAGGCTCCGCGTGGCAAACCGCAGTCCGTTTCACTCCAGCGTTCGATTCTTCTGTCACGCCGACTTCAAGGCCCGTGGCGCTCTTCTTTCTTCGGTTCCCTTTTTTATTTTGGGCACAAGTTCGCCCCATTAAACGTTTAGCTTCTTCAGGTATTTGTGTTTACTGTTCTATTTGTTTTTGTTCTATTGCCACCCCCTTGTATAATGCCCCACGGCCCCTCAAGGAAAAATAAATTATGATTATAGCCTCATCAATTGTCATTCGTGACAATATCTTTTATTTGTACGCACCTTGTGGGTTCGCGGTGTTTTGGTGTGATCAACATGGACATGTGACAAAATATTTTAAATTTGGTAAAGGAGGCGGAAGGTAGAGCCGTGGAGTGGTACACACTGATTATTTCTGTAATTATTACATTATATTCAAATTTGACATCTACCACTGGAAAGCGAAACCGTTCTTAATTAAACACTTAACTTTCTTATATATATATATATATATATATATATATATATATATATATATATATATATATATATATATATATATATATATATATATATATATAACGAAGTGAAAAACTCACGGTGAAAAACAACAAACAGCGGAAGTTTAATCGACAGTTTCGCGAAGAGACTCGACTTCGTCAGGAGATGACGTTCAAGTGAGGGCATATCGCCTGGGCAAAAAAGATCAAAACTAGAAAAAAAAAAAAAGAGAAAGGGGGGGGGGGGGCGCGGTGTACGCGTTTCCACATGGCAAACAAGTTGACCTGAGGCCTCTCCTCCGGCGGGGCGGCGAAATACAAAGTGCGCTTGAGCGCTCAGGACGGTGGCTACAATTGGCCTTGAACGGGCGACCTCTTCTTGGCTGATGGCCCCTAACGAGCCAATGCATCCCCGGGACAGTCACCCCTGGGGTGCCGCGCGTTTCAAGAAAACCAAAAGCATGTTTGCCCCGTCTCCCAACTAAAAAAAAAAAAAAAAGGGAGAGGATACGAGGTTAGGGAGGGGGAAGAGGGTACGTTTGGGAGATGTTAAAGAAACATGAAACACGCGTGTAAGACAGAAGCACGGGAACAGCACGGTTCCCGTGCTTTTGCCGTGCTTTGATCACGTGGTTCAATTCCAGTCGAAAATACAGTACCACTATGAAAGGGTAGTCTAGGTTAATGCTCTTATTGATGCAAGTGTTCCTGGACTCTAATTTATTCCTTTTGCTATAGCATTGAATTTGTATATGAGGTATGACTCTCGCTGTTCGCGCTTCCGGTTAGATCTAAATACAGATTCCAGTAATGTCACAGATAATTTATCGAAAGAATGCTCTGGGAGACGGAGGTGCTTTGAAAGAGGGAGGCATGGACTAGTGTTAGAGTGAGATCTGGGGTTTTTAAAGCGTAGTCTAAACGCTGTCTCGGTCTGTCCGACGTATTGCATTTTGCATACTCTACACGCTGGCAAGTACACCACGTTTGAAGAGTTGCATGTCAGTTCCCCTTTAGTTTTCATTGAGTACAGCGAATCCGTGCTCTTGGCTGTGTCTGTTTGTAGAATTTGTAGGCAGATTAAACACTGCGGTGTATTACAAGGCCTGCATTCGTTGTGTCGCGGTTTAGAGTTTAACCGAAAATCAACTAGCGTGTCTCTGTTGTTGCGTAATCGTCTATAGATGACGCCCGGTGGGGAGGGAAAAGCGCGTTTGAGGCGGTCACTTTGCTCGAGCATGTTGTAGTGTCGTCTTAAAACATTATTTACGTTAGGATAGTGAGTACTATAGGTGAGACACGGATTTGTGCGTTGTGTGTTGCTCTCTGGGGGACGGTCCTCCAGGAGATCGCTGCGGTTCAACATTCTGGCTTTATCGATCGCATTATCAATTACACGAGGTTGATATTTTTGATGTGTCAATACGTTCTTGAGGTTTTGAGCGCTCGCGTCCAAATCATTTTTGTTTGAACAGATGCGTTTGAAACGGTGGGCCTGGCTACAGGGTATGCTGTTCTTGCAGAGACGTGGGTGGTCGCTCTTTTGTAATGAAGGTAATGTTGCCGATCTGTTGGCTTGCGATAAAGCTTTGTTGTTAATTTCCCATCCTCTATTGAAAGGGTCACGTCTAAGAAGTTAATGTCGTTTGGGAGTAAGTGTGAGTGAAACGGATGTGTGGGTGGACAGCGTTGTAATTAACTATGAAGTCTTGCAGGTCCGCCTCGCTGTATGTCCAGATAAAAAAATATATCATCTATGAATCTGTTGTGCAGTAGTGGTTTTAATGGGTAATCGCATAGAAATTTTGACTCTAACTTCCCTATAAAGATGTTAGCATAACTGGGTGCCATTGCGGTACCGCTAACCGGTCTAAAATATTCATTATTAAATTCAAATACATTTAGTTCTAAAACAAGCCTTGTTAGGGTCGCAATGACGTGACCATCTGGGCTCTCTGGTTGTCTTTGGGACTCGTACATATCTATAACGAAGATGTTCCGTCGTCGTGTGGAATGTTCGTGTACAATGAAGACACGTCCAAGGTTACAAGATATGATCCTTTCGGTATATGTAAATTTGATATATCCCTGAGGAAGTGGGTCGTGTCCTTGACATGCGAATCGAGGGTTGTAGGTATGTGCCGAATCTACATAGCCCGATGGAGGTTCCGTTATTGTTCCTATCGCGGACATGATAGGACGGCCTGGATTACCACTTTTGTGAATTTTCGGAAGCATGTAAAAGCGAGCGGGGGATGGTTGTTTTGGCTTTATTATATTATATTCATTAGCGGTAATCTCACCTCTGTGTACAAGTTGTTTGAGCTCTGACGTTACGATCTGAGTGTGGCGTTTTGTAGGGTCGCCTGGAAGACGCTCATAAAATTTCTGATCGTTTAGTTGGCGGTACCCTTCCCGTACATAATCGTCAGTACTGAGAATCACAATCGCCCCTCCCTTGTCTGCAGGTTTTATTGTGATGTCTTTTCTAGTACTTAGTGATTTCAAAGAGGTTCTCTCGGATTTAGTTAGGTTGTCCCGTCTCCCTTTGCACTTGTGGTACTCTCGCATAATATCCTTTTGTACAGCTGATATGTACAAGTCCAGGCTGTTGTTCCGATGAGTCTTTGGAGTCCAATCGCTAGTTGGACGTGGCTGTGTGTTTTTGGAGTTAGACGGTTTATCTACAAAGTATTCCCGCAACCTTAAATTTCTGGCAAAGTTATCTAGGTCTCGGAGAACTTGGAACTCATCAATGTAACCAGTGGCAGGGCAAAAGTTTCGTCTTTTAGAAATAGCTTTTTCTTCTTCGGCTGATAGGGGAATTCCAGACAAATTAACGATAGTGCATGTACCACTCGCCTCGTTAATATTTGAAGAGCTATTTTCGTCTCGGCGCATGCAGTCTGTAATTCTAGTGTTTGGCTGAATACCGGCATCGTTTTGGTTTGGTACGGATGGAGGTTGTATGGGGTGTGGTACTTTGTCTCAATCGAGTTTGCGTGACTTGATTCTTTCAAGCTCGCGGCGTTTTTTTTTTTTTCAAATTCGTGTAAGGAGGTTGTTTCATGCGTCGAAAGCGGGTCGTTCGATCGGATAATAGTGGTTATTGAGGTGTTACATTTTTTTACTTGTTTATCACTATGACTGATTGCGATCTTTACCAGTTTAAGTGACGCTTCTAAAAGGACGGAATCCCATTCCGATTAGTCGCATCGATCAAGGTTTGTAATAGCCGGAGGGAGAGACAGTGACATGCCCTTCGGGGGGAACCCCGCATTCAGGTACACTTGCAGAGTTGATTTGTGGAGTTCATGTCTAATTCGCTTGTCAGTTAATTTTCGTACTTTAAGGAAGGTGGTACTGTAGTTTGTTGGAAAGGAATTGGACTCACCGGGAACAAGTCAGTCTTCGTTTGGGTGACGAGTTTGCGGGACGGTTCTCCGAAGGTTGTAGCGGTGTGTTGTGGAGGGTCTTGAGCCCCGAGGAGTCGGGACCTCTGCTCTTGGCGTCGTACTGTCAGCGAGCGCGGGGAAGTCATTGCAGTCGAGGTCAAAGACTGTGCCATCGGTTGTGGAGTGTGGTGCTCCGTGGCTCTGAACCGTATCGCAGGAACTTCAGGGGAGGGAGAGTCCTCTTCTGGAAAGGACGTCCTTGTGGGCGCTACCGCTCGAAAGGGGTGGAGAGGCGACCGTCGGTGGTTTCTTGGGTAGGAGGGCGGTGACAGGAACCTCAGATGACCATCGAAAGGACTAAACTTTTGTCCTGCCACTGGTTACATTAATGAGTTCCAAGTTCTCCGAGACCTAGATAACTTTGCCAGAAATTTAAGGTTGCGGGAATACTTTGTAGATAAACCGTCCAACTCCAAAAACACACAGCCACGTCCAACTAGCGATTGGACTCCAAAGACCCATCGCAACAACGGCGTGGACTTGTACATATCGGCTGTACAAAAGGATATCATGCGAGAGTACCACAAGTGCAAAGGTAAACGGGACAACCTAACTAAATCCGAGAGAACCTCTTTTAAATCACTAAGTACTAGAAAAGACATCACAATAAAACCTGCAGACAAGGGAGGGGCGATTGTGATTCTCAGTACTGACGATTATGTAGGGGAAGGGTACCGCCAAGTAAACGATCAGAAATTTTATGAGCGTCTACCAGGCGACCCTACAAAACGCCACACTCAGATCGTAACGTCAGAGCTCAAACAACTTGTACACAGAGGTGAGATTACCGCTAATGAATATAATATAATGAAGGCAAAACAACCATCCCCCGGTCGCTTTTACATGCTTCCGAAAATTCACAAAAGTGGTAATCCAGGCCGTCCAATCATATCCGGGATAGGAACTATAACGGATCCTCCATCGGGCTATGTAAACGACCTAATTCGGCACATACCTACAACCCTCGATTCGCATGTCAAGGACACGACCCACTTCCTCAGGGATATATCAAATTTACATATACCGAAAGGATCATATCTTGTAACCTTGGACGTGTCTTCATTGTACACGAACATTCCACACGACGACGGAATATTTTTGTTAATAGATATGTACGAGTCCCAAAGAAAACCAGAGAGCCCAGATGGTCACGTCATTGCGACCCTAACAAGGCTTGTTTTAGAACTAAATGTAATTGAATTTAATAATTAATATTTTAGACAGGTTAGCGGTACCGCAATGGGCACCAAGATGGCACCTAGTTATGCTAACATCTTTATGGGGAAGTTAGAGTCAAAATGTCTATGCGATTACCGATTAAAACCACTGCTGTACAAAAGATTCATAGATGATATATTTTTTATCTGGACACAGAGCGAGGCGGACCTGCAAGACTTCATAGTTAATTACAACGCTGTCCACCCACACATCCGTTTCACTCACACTTACTCCCAAACCGACATTAACTTCTTAGACGTGACCCTTTCAATAGAGGATGGGAAATTAACAACAAAGCTTTATCGCAAGCCAACAGATCGGCAACATTACCTTCATTACAAAAGAGCGACCACCCACGTCACTGCAAGAACAGCATACCCTATAGCCAGGCCCACTGTTTCAAACGCATCTGTTCAAACAAAAATGATTTTGACGCGAGCGCTCAAAACCTCAAGAACGTGTTGACACATCAAAAATATCCACCTCGTGTAATTGATAATGCGATCGATAAAGCCAGAATGTTGAACCGTAGCGATCTCCTGGAGGACCGTCCCCCACAGAGCAACACACAACGCACAAATCCGTGTCTCACCTATAGCACTAACTATCCTAACGTAAATAATGTTTTAAGACGACACTACAAGATGCTCGAGCAAAGTGACCGCCTCAAACGCGCTTTTCCCTCCCCACCGGGGGTCATCTATAGACGATCACGCAACATCAGAGACACGCTAGTTAATTCTCGGTTAAACTCTACACCGCGACACAACGAATGCAGGCCTTGTAATACACCGCAGTGTTTAATCTGCCTACAAATTCAGCAAACAGGCACAGCCAAGAGCACGTATTCGCAGTACTCAATGAAAACTAAAGGGGAACTGACATGCAACTATTTCCAAAGTAGTGTACTTGCTAGAGTGTAGAGTATGCAAAATCCAATAGGACGGTCAGACCGAGACAGCGTTTAGACTACGCTTTAACAATCACAGATCTCACTCTAAAACTAATCCTGGCCTCCCTCTTTCAAAGCACCTCCGTCTCCCAGAGCATTGTTTCGATAAATTATCTGTGACATTACTGGAATCTGGATTTAGATCTAACCGGGAGCGCGAACAGCGAGAGTCATACCTCATATACAAATTCAATACTATAGAAAAAGGAATAAATGAGAGTCCAGGAACACTTGCATCAATAAGAGCATTAACCTAGACTACCTTTTCATAGTGGTACTGTATTTTCGACTGGGATTGGACCACGTGATTAAAGCACGGCAAAAGCACGGGAACCGTGCTGTTCCCGTGCTTTTGTCTTACACGCGTGTTTCATGTTTCATTAACATCTCCCAAACGTACCCTCTTCCCCCTCCCCAACCACGTATCTTCTCCCTTTTTTTTTTTTTTACTTGGGAGACGGGGCAAACATGCTTTTGGTTTTCTTAAAACGCGCGGCACCCCAGGGGTGACTGTCCCAGGGATGCATTGGCTCGTTAGGGGTCATCAGCCACGAAGACGTCGCCCGTTCACGGCCAATTGTAGCCACCGTCCTGAGCGCTCAAGCGCACTTTGTATTTCGCCGCCCCGCAGGAGGAGAGGGCTCAGATCAACTTGTTTGCCATGTGGAAACGCGTACACCCCCCCCCCCCCTTTCTCTTTTTTTTCCTAGTTTTGATCTTTTTTGCCCCGGCGATATGCCCTCACTTGAACGTCATCTCCTGACGAAGCCGAGTCTCTTGGCGAAACTGTCGATTAATTTTCCGCTGTTTGTTGTTTTTCACCGTGAGTTTTACACTTCGTTATATATACACTTTCGGCCACTTGGCTCTTACGCCACCATGCCCACTATATATATATATACTTATATATATATATATATATAGAGAGAGAGAGAGATAGATAGTGCAACCAGCCTCTGATGCTTTGCGTGAGGAAAGCGCAGCAGAGGTTGGTTGCTCTATTTCTCCACGGGACGCAGTGCCGTCGGGGCCGAGATGCGCTCTAATGGCAAACCGAAACTTAAAAACCCGTCGAACTGGTGCGGTTTTTCAGAAAGCCGTAAAATACTTCACGTGCCTTTATCGTTCTGCAGTTTGTTGATTTAGTGTCTTTCAATGATTCTGAGCAATTTTCTAATTTAAAACATGCCCTTAAACGCATTGTTAAAAAGTTACTTGCGGAAAAATAATAAACAGTCTAATTATCCCGGACTTTGATAATTTTCCTAAATAGGCCCTGGCCCAGGACCAAAACGAAATGAGCCTTTGTGTTGCGACGCGTAGTTTTCGCAATATCGAATTTGTCCACTTTTTGTAAACAACCTGGATTTATATGGGATCATTTTGTTATTTATATACATAGTTTTCCAGTTATAGTTCTAACAGCGTTCTCATTCATATCTGCCAAGTTAAAACTATGTTGCTTTATTTGCAGTCTAGCTTGAGTTTTTATATTTTTACCGAAGATATAGCATGTTTCCAATAAGTTCGTTTTTATGATAATCTGATCCATATTTGTTAGCTTCCACGTCCAAGTAGCTCAAACTAACGCTTCCTCTCGGATAGAAATGCGTATTACTATAAACAAATATTTATTGGGTTATCGGCTACACGAAAAATATCGACAGCCTACCTGCTACGAGTTCTTTCAGTTCTTGTTCCAGACTTTCTAGGCCTTCTTCCTGGGATCCCTTGACAACGACACAAGCGACGGGAGCCTCCCCGTACTTCGAACTGAGTATGCCGACCACAGCGGCTTCGAGAACCGCCTCGTGCGAGGTCAAGATTTCTTCCAACTCGGCTGGAGTTACGATATTCCCCATACATTTTATCATCTGCTTGAGCCGATCTACGAAGTAGATCTGTCCATTACTGTCATAGTACCCAAGATCCCCTGCGAGGAAGTGCATAAGTTGCATATGTTACGACAAGTAAAGGCAGTTACTTGAGAAACGTAATCACTAGTTTCAATGCAGGGACATTCTCAAATATAATTATATTCCTAGCTCCGTCTGACATTGGATGTGTTTGCTCCGTATCGTTAGAGTCTTTTCTCTTTATAAATAAGTTTCTCGCACTATCTATTTTCTTAATGAGAAATTACTATTAATGGTTTAAACAGATATTTCTTGAAATATTGAACGTGTACCTTTTCTACTGTGTAGGTCTGCATACCCTGTAACCACCCTGACGTGGTGTTTTAATTTTTTTTTAAATTTTACATAGTTCAAGAATTTCGCTTTCTTTATTTCGCACTTATTCTGCAAATTAAGAAGGTTAAATTAATTGGTCTTAATGTGAAACAATTATTGCCCTTTGTTGTTAGATTACCGCAGAAAAAATATTGTTGAAAAGATGACAATTTTTCCTCTAATGCATTTATTTCAAAATGATGTATCCTTGACCGTTTCTTCACAGGTAATTTGGCAAATAAAACTCGGTCATTCAACATTTGACTTTGGTCCAAATGACTGAAATCACTAAAATGTTCCAACCATCTGTCGCATGCATATCGAGTACGAATGAAAAGATGCCGAGGAGCATAAATAAAATAATCATGTTGTAACCTCGAAGTACCAATTTTTTCTTCATCGACAATTATCTAAAAATGGTTGGCTTGACATTTGAAGTTCCAACGCATTCTGTTTCCTTGTACTTATGAGTTCGTTTTTATTTTGCCAACAATTTCTCAAATGTCCCTCTTTGTCATCTTCAACCCACATGTCTCCACTTTTTCAATTATCCAATGTAAAACATTCATTCTATAACACATTTATTTGCCGAAAATATTTGCCTCAAAAACTCCGCGTTCTAGATGGGTTCTATTCTACGTAAGGAAATGCGCCTCTTCCATTTACTTGCCCTCTTGCGCAGGAGCAGAAATGCATAGGGTTGTGTACTTCCTGTAGTTTCTCAATACACATAACTGGGGTACACTGCCCTACATGGTTCTGCAACGAGGCAGGAGGTGCAGGTTAATCGAGAGAGCCTATGATGAGCAAAAATCCGCTCGTACTGCAGACATACGGTTCAATTATAAGGCCGCCTTGAATATTGGTTGAGAAACAATGAACGAATACTAAGTTTTGTGCACCTTGTGAGCCTATCAAAATAGCATGGTATCTTACACGCAAAGGGTTTAAAAATAGAAAAAGATATCTGTAAACGCACTACTCAACTAACATAGGATTAGAGGAGGTGACTGATTTACAATGCTAGACCACCATGCGCACTCGCACGTGGGACGCTTCACGGCCTAGGTTAGGCCCATTGGATAAATTTATATTTGAGTATTACAGAGACCTTCCCCAACCTTACCCGTGCGAAGCCAGCCATCACTGCTCAGGACTTCTTGAGTAGCTTCCGGACGACCGTAGTAGCCCTTCATAAGAGTTTTGCTCTGAACCACAAGCTCGCCTTTTTGATAGGGGCCGAGAGGATCTCCGTTGAAGAGGTCGAGGATCTAGGTAGTGATTTTGATTAGACTGAATATTCGTCCAGGCGACAACTCATTAAATGTATGAAACAAAGTGAGCAACGCAGGAGACCCAAATTTCCATAAAGGAGGGAGCTCCTGGGCACTAAATACGGCAGGTTTTTCCAGTTGGATGTTTGACAAATTTTAGCAGAAACATGGATGCCTCTCTCGACAGATTTTGAAAGAAACAGTCGTTTTTACCAGATGCGCTGGTAAGGACCAGCAAAGTAAGATGCCATAATTCGCAAGACATAAATGTTGTATACATTGTGGTAACTGGAATGTTTAGGTTGTTAAAGAGTGGTTCGTGTTTTATGATCATGAGCCACTTCAAACACGGATACAAAAAGGGAAGTATCCAAGCCAACTTTTCTGTTTGTTTGTTAAGAGCAAATAAGTAAAAGTATGAAGTTTACTTGCTATTATAGTATAATGAGAGCAGAAAAAAAAATACTACTGAGCTCGAGCCAAACTCATATTTCTCTTGCCATGTAGACGTGTGGCACCATGCGACACCACTCTGTCAGTGCAGATCGCGGTTCGAGGTGGGAGAGGACCTTACAAGGTAAACAAATAACCTAATGGGAGAGCGCAGGACTTTCAGGCTTTTCACATACTTGACATTATATCAAAGGTGGAGGCACAGCCAGGTTCTTCATTTTGCGTCGCTGAGCGTGAAAAAAAATGTTTTGAATCTGATTAATTGTTGTTCGGCCTCTTGATAAAAGCATGTTCACTCATTCACCACCACAGCACATTACGGCTGTTAGTAAGCCCTGGAAATAGTGCTTATCTTGTTGGCGCAGCGAGGACTGCGCACAATGTTAAGAATGCATCACTGAGAATGGGCTGCATCAATACTAGTTTAAACTCAAGTGAGCTCTTCATCAACGCAATCTGTACTACTGATACAGTGCTGCGATGTTCCGTCATCCGACTTTAAGCCCTAACCAATCTTTCAAGTGAATTAGAAGTGCCTTCAGTAATGACACTTAAATCTACACTGAAATAATAGAACAACACTTATTTTAGAGGACCTAGATGAACACGTGTTTCAGAATATAAATTCTCAATGCTCTTGGGCAGAGCTCACAAGCATAACCGCTCTTCACAGTAACAAAAACTCCTCCGCACGTAAAGTGTTGAAGGCCTTGGGCGTTGAAGAAAGCGAAATACCTCGTCGATTACGGTTCACAAAAAAGAGCAACACTGGACGCGGCACCGCGAGCCTCCATGGTACTCGCTGTTGCCTTTCTGCGATTTCGCGGCTTCGAAGAGCAAATAAAAATAATAATAATTATTATATGTACGGATTGCCACACACCGTTGAGTGGTAAGCCGAAAGTGTTGTTTGTATCGTGTTTAATGTGCCGTAGGAAGAAGTAAGTGCCTAGGTTCGGAAGAGGATAAAATAAAAGTCAGTTGTTAGACACCGTTGTGATTGTACAGTCCTTTTCTTTCTATTCTCGTGTTTCTTTTTATGTTCAATTAACCCGATCACCAACGCTATGTTTGATCAGGCTAACGCGGTACTTCTTGAACCTCGCTGTACGAGAATTTGTTCAAGCGCCAACATGCACCTTTTGATGAGTCGCTGTGAGGAAAGAGGCCACGCGAATGACAAAAGCACAGTCGTTGTGTTGGTGTGACGATACAGTTGAATGTGCAGGTGTCTTGGGAATCCGCCTTTTAGCCCCAACACTTCGCGTTTCATTAAGTTTGCGACTATCAGATAGTTTATCGGCACCTGTTCCCAGTGATGGAACCTCACACATTCGTTAGGGTCGCACTCGCACTTTTTCGAGGTATCAATGAACAAAAGCTGTTATCCTGCAGGACGGGAAACAGCTTCCGAGAAACTATTCGATAACCGCATACTTCATAAAACACAAAGTGTTAGGGCTAAAATACGTATACCTAAACGAACTCCACATTGAACGATATTGCACATCAAAACCTCTATTGTGATTTGCTCTATCACGTAGGCAAATTTGTTTCAAAGAGACGTAGCAAGAGGTGCATGTTTGCCCTTGAACGCATTCTCGTACAGGGAGGTTCGTCTCGTACCGCCTTGGCTTGATTTAAAATAACGATCGGCAACGCAAGGGTGCTATAAGACTGGAGTGCTAGTCTCAGCGACCATTCTCCAGGTTGCAAATCGATGCACGCAGTGAGCTGGTAGCGCGTTCGGCGTACGTCGTGTATCGTTCGGTGTACGTCGTTCACTTGCCTTTTCCGTTGCGGCGTTTTTGCTCAGTCCCCGTCCCAGAAAAATCGTAATTGTTTCGTTATTGGCCGTGTTTGATATCTACCGATTGGAAGGAATGGGTACTTACTGCATCGCGCGTAAGTGTGGAGCAATCCACGACAACCTGAGCAGTGATGGTGTGGAGACGATAGCAGACGACATATACACAACCCAACGAACCCGAAACGAAATTAACTGTTGACAGTCTCTTGTTACCAGAGCGCACCTGAACCGCTAGGGCCTCCGCTATCTTGCATATCACCCATTTCGCCTGCTCTGCAATGTTCCACAAGATGGCAACACCCACAAGACTACCGAGAATGCAGAGTCGATATTCTCTTATCGTCGCTTACTTGTGGGTGCTAGGCCGAAAGATTCTATTACGGAAAGTGTAGAAAAGAACAAAGGGCAAGACATCATTTAGTTATGTCTTTGCTCGTCTCTGTTGGAATCTGTAAGAAAAATAATAAAGTAAAGAACTTTTAGACTATCGCGTGTGTGGGAGGAGAGAGAATCCAGTTGCTTTGGTGGCAACAATGCACTACGCATTGCAGAACGTTCAGTGTCAGCCGAAATGCAGCACAAGAAGTCGGGATCAGATATCAAAGTCATATCAACCAGAATCAAATAATATGTGTAAATACGATTGAAATATTTTCAATAGAAATAGAAGAGCCAACGCAGCCTGCTAATGCATGGAATTGAGCATACTCTTACTCGGAGATCGGACTATAATTTCTCATTTGAATTTCGAAAAACAAACGCACAGTGTTTTAGCATTTTAATTCGGTAACGATAAGATATTATTCTTATGAATCAGCTCTCGATCGTTAGAGGGAAAATCAGGCAAATGTTGGGCTTTCCGCTATGGGTAATATTAGTCTTACGATGTGAAAACCACGTTCTTGTTTTTGTCGCAGACGCCATACATTCTTTTTTTTTTTTTTGCCTTGTTTGCATTATTGCGCATCTTCTGACTGTTTTTTGGTCCATGGATATAAGGGTGTTCCTATTTGTCTCCGAAAACTAGGAGGATCCATTACTAAAGGCGGTTTGCCTAATTGTGTCTTTGAAAAAAAAAAAGCGTGATAAAGAACGCTTAGGGTATAGTAGTGCGAAAAATTTTTTGTTCATACATACTTGGACTTTGGTGCCAGCACAAGGAACGCCGACGTTATCCATGAGGATTTTTCCGGCAGGAGTGCAGCTTATAAGAGCAAAGGTTTCAGTCAAGCCGTAGAAGTTTACGAACGAGTTCACACCAAAGAACTCGCATATCTCTGTTCCTAGCGATTCGCCGGTCATCGTCCCTCCGACTATGATTTTCTTCAGGCTCACTGCTGGATAGTTGTTCGTTCTCGCTTCGTTCACAATCCCTCGTAGCATTTCAGAAGTGGCGAAAATCACGGATATCTGGGGAATGAGGCGAGTGGTTAACTATACATTTATGTTGTCAAGATGCAGTCCATAGAAGTTTGTTTTTTCTTTGTTTGTTTGTAAATGCTGCCGGTTATTTTAGAATGACATGGCGCAGATACGTCGATCTGACGTAAACCACGAATTAACGTTTTGTCCAGTAGAACGCGTTCAACATAATTCAATAGAAAAGTAAAGATAGAAAAACGGAGACTTTGATGTAATATACATATTATTATGAAAAGCTATAAGAATTTTAGTTTCACTGTTGAAAGAGACAATTTTTTATTCGTTATCGTTGCGAACATTGGTGGGGCTAGAAGTGATCCACTGGAAGACCCGAAGCAATCAGTTCCGCTTGCAAACAAAAAAATGTTAATTTTATTTTAATTTATTTTCTGCAAGAACAAACTCTGGCAGCTTTCGCCCATCTAAATAATTGCGCTATTTTTTGCTAACCTCTTTTCTCCCATCTTTAGAGAAAATACCGGTGTGAGTGCCTTAAATTTTTCAGTTGTCGCTTTCACCCCTTCCCGGCAGTGACAAACGTGCTTGACCAAAATTGTCTTACTTGATGTGTAGAGAGGCTCTCCAAGAAATCTTTGCACGATATGGAATGCTCCGTAATTATCACCCTTACTCCCAGGCACAGGCAGATGCTGTCGATCACAAACCCGGAGACGTGAGTGAAGGGATTCCAAGCAAGCATGATGTCATCTTCAGCGAAAACCCCTGAAGCCCTGTAACATGGCACAATAACAGCCAACCAAATTTTGGAAGACATTCGTAGGTTTAATAATTTATAACATTAATAATAAATTGTTTATTCAGCAATTCTTGTACATACTTTTGATCGAAGGCCCGCATAAGCGCGCGAGCGCTTGTGTGCGTGACCGTGGCAACCTAAGAGAGTGCTCAAAATAATTAAAACAATCGTGACACAAACATTTTTGCCAAAAACAGGCTATACATAGTTAACACAGGCAAATTGGACACCAAAAGAAGGAACAGTATGTATACACCTAAATATGACGAGAGCACCACTCCATTAATTTCTGTTTCGCGTCTTTCAGAGACGGCGGGTCGAAAAATTCTTCCGGAAGTTTATTAAAGTAGAATGGAATATAACATTTCCTTAAACGCCTCCCGTAATTTGTGTATACCATAAAAATCAAAAACGTTTTCAGAATGTCTCAGATGTTTTTGTCTTTTGACACTATACTTGAAATCGTCGGTATAATGATACTTCATTAAAACTACGTATTTCCTTAATTCCTCTACCTGCAATATTTGTTGAGAGGACAATTGTTCACCCCTATCAAGAGTTTCAAATTTCGAGCCATAGGCAATACTATCTGCAATTCTAAATATTAGTCTATTTTTTTCTTCCGGTGGGCAGAACAGGTTCCATATTGTGAACAGTGATTCCGTAACGCAAGACGGAGACTCCTAGTGCTTTGTACACTTTTTTCTTAAGTGAAATATTATAGAGATTTCTTAGTCTGTACATAAACGCTAAAACCATTCGTAGGCGCTTTACTAGAATATCGACGTGTACGTGCACTCCATCTTAGGCACTCATCAAAAGTTATTCTTAAATATGTTGTTTCGGTCGCATATACGAGCGGAGAGCAGTCGCAAGAATCACAGTCGGTATAATGCAGATAGACCGGACGTTTAAGGTTCACTCTTTTTTGATGTGTCCGGAAGCACATTAAGTTGGTCTTGGTTTTGTTTACAAATGCTTAATTCCAGGAGAACCAGTCTACTAATTTGTTTATATCACTTTGGAAAACGGAAACTGCATCTTCGTAATTTTTATGGGCCAATACAATTGCAGTGTCGTCCGCATATTGGTATAACTGAGAACTTAGAGACAATTTATCTAAGTCATTTATATAAATGTTAATAGCAGAGATAGACCCCTGCGGTACGCAGGAAGTAACCGACAAGGGTTCACTTATGCTTCCTCCTCTGCGTACACGGTGTGTACGGTTATGGAAGTAATTAATAAAAATGAAGAAAAGGTCCTCTGAAGCCCATTTTTGTTAATTTATTTAATAACAACCGTGATCAATTGTATCGAACGCTTCTCTTAGGTGGGGAAATAGAGCTAGGACTACGTAATTGTTCTCTATGTTCATTTAATGAAAACAATCAAGTTTCTATTACGCTGTCTAATACAAGTGACGGGTAGTGCCGGTTCCTAAGAAAAAGGCCAATTCAAAGTGAAAAATGGAGACAATAACAAAAGAAACAAAAAAATGGAATGCCTGGCTCTTCTAGGGTGCGTTGCGCATCGGCCAGCATCACGAATCTATCTACGACAAGGAGAACTCGGTCAGTGCAGGCAATTCTCTGATTAAAATAAATACATTCTTCACTACCACAAACTTGTTATTTAGTGCGCCTGAATATCTATGCTGCGCCTGAATATCTATGCACCTTCCGTTAATAGAGGGCCAATGTATCTCGGTCTCTCATACGACTTCATCTTATGCCCATTCAACGGTCCATTCTTGCAACAGGACCCTCGACTTTGACGTTTTATGATATCAGAGGACGAAGGCACACTAATTCGCGGTTCCAGAGTGGCCGACTTAAGTGTGCAAGCCTTTCGTTTATTGAACTACTAAAAACTATATTTTATAATACCAGCGTGAAACTTATTTTTCTGTAGTGAAATTCGTTCTACGAATATTCCCATTGAGTGTTGATGTATGAGTGAAGTGATGTGCAAGTGGTGAGTTAGGTAGGCTGAATTACTAAAAGCTGTGTGCATCCTTTTTTGTTCTACAGTTCAATGAATGATAGGCGTGAAACGCCGAATTTACCTGTTCAACCCTATTGGAAATAATACTTCAGTCATGATATGTTACGCGACGCTATCAACGCTTCAAGCCCCTTCAGTCCATTGAACCCCTCAGCCCTACAATCCCCTTCAGACCGTCAGACCTTAAAACACATTCAGTCCGTCAAAACCTTCAGCATTTATGACCCCCTCATCTCTTCAATCATTTAGACACCCCAATGACAGTGAAGCCTTGACGAAAAATACAGTTGAAAACGTTACTGAAAGAGTGAAGCTGTACGCACGACGTGGTGCACCTCGACCGGAAATGGCGATACGCACGACACGGAGAACTCATGCCAGTTAGGTCGCCCTTTTCAGAGGCGCAGTGGTGGACGGCACGTTAATTACTGGGACACGCGCTAATCCACCCGACCCCTCGTTTATACCACCTGACCCGGAAACACCACTCCGGAGCGCCCCGCCTGTCGCTGAGTCTCCACTGTCCCCCATTGCACCTCCGGAAAGGAAGCCCCATAACGGGTAGTATAGCGACGTTTGGTTGACATTTGTTTTTTACTGTGATAATTATAAAAAAAAAGATATATCGTTAATTTCGCCAAAGGTTTTACAAGCCGACGGCGTAGCTCAAACGGGAAATAGGAAGCTGCGCTCTAAAACAGGTTTTCTAGAAACAAGTATCAAAACGTCCCCCTCCGATTTGCTCCACGCACCGTCTCTCCCTCGTGAGCGAGAACTTAGCGAAGAAAAACAGTGCAAGGGGCGGAAACAAGGAACCCTGAAGTAGAGATGAGGGACCTCCTCTCCAAAAAGGTTTTTCTAGTGCGCTCCCTTTTCCTGCTCACTGACGCCGCGCCAGGCCCACGACAGGAAGAGACGGGGGAACAACTCTTGAATTTCCAAACCTCGTCGCGGCCGCCCGAACCTCTGCAGCTTCTCCTACGCGGGCGAAGAACCAGCGGACTTGTTGCCAAGATGGTTATCGGTGACTGCGAACTTACTTTAATAGGTCGATCGCACGGTTGCGGTTGTGAGCGTTTGATAGCGTTTGGAAGCGTTGCATTGTGAAATGGGTTTCAGCCCCCGGGTCGTCCCTGCTTCGTATGAGGCGTGACATCCACTTTAAGAAGCAGCTTGGTGCACGGCATGCGAGGCCCAGGTCTTGGTCCTGGTGGCTTGCGAACGCGGCGCGGTAGGGCGCGTAGGGGCTTTTAGCCTCTCCCCGCCGCTGCTGATGCTCAAGAGAAACAGCAGCCATGCATGGCATGAAATAAACACGTTTTGTTCAACTTAACTCACAAAATGACCAAGCGGCTTTCCTGACGCCTATATCATGAAGGATCACGTGATTTGTCTCACAGACCCGCTTAAATGGTCTTGATGGGTGCCGTGGTTTCACGGAAAGGATCGGGACAGACCCCACGTGTTTCTCAGAGATCTCAGACAGGTATATCGCAACCCTTGGGAATACTTAAAAGGTATGTCAGTCCCCTTACAAATCTTTGCCGGACATTTCAAACCCGTCAAACATGTTCGATCGGAACGTCAAAACATCTCAGGAACCCTAGTTTGCCTCAGGGACCAATTTTCAATAGGGAACAGTGCACATATTTTTTACCGCTTTTTAATCTTATAAAATAAATATTGAGAGACGATCATGGGGGCGTGATGTGTTGAGACAGCGCTACGTGTGCTGCTTATTTGACAATATGTCGATAACTATCATTATATCGTCGCTAAACTTTTCCGCCAAACTTAGCGGGGAAACTGAATAAGTGAATACGTTACGCGAAGTAAAGGTTCAGTAAACTTAAGTAGGGAACTTGAATTCGCCTGTCCCGTAACGACAGGCCACGTGACATAAATTTTTCTGCAAAACTCAGTGGGGAAACTGAATTGTTTCTTAGGTCACGTGACATGAATGTTTTCCCTGAATGTAGCGGGGAAACTGAATTGGTGCATACTTCACGTTACGTAAATATTTTGGGAAACGCTTTTCGGCAAACTAAATACGTATACGCTCACGCCTTCGCGAAATCGGGGGCATGAGCCCGTGACAGCTATCGCATTAAAAACACTTGTTCAACAAACAACGTACATTAGTGCACGGTAGCAGGAGACGTAAGCTTTATGGGACATTTGCACGGCTTTTGGGAGACCCGTGGTTCCTGACGTGTACAGCATCACGACGACCTCCTCCGTTGTGTCAGCAGGCACTTGGGGCTCGAGACTAGCCTCCGAGTGGTCTTGGAATTCGAGGACGTCAATGAAACCGGGTGCTCTTCCAACAGAAAACAGCTTCTGCGAAGTCAAAAAGCGACCATTCGGTTCCTGGTACGGTTCGTGAGTGCAGGCTCAACGGTTAGGAACCAAGGTTGTACAGATCCCTTCAGGCAAACCAATATGTGTGAAATTAATTAATAATATCGTTTTTTATGGCGAAGAATATAAGAAATATTTGCTACATTTCGGTTACTAAGATTGCTTATTCGCCTATAGATAAAGCCTGAAACGTTTTGTGCTGATTCACAGGTGTTCTTGTTTGTACATCAACACACAAAATAAAAAAAAAACCATGGGGTTGGCGAGAAACCTCAACGAACGATGTCTGTCATGCCCGAGAAAAGGCTGAGAAACTTTTGAAGTGCAAGGTAAATGTAACTTACTCGTAAATTATAAGGACGAATACATTGCCGCGTGCGTGAGCAAGATTAAACGTTTCTCCGAGCATCTAGACGTTTCATGATTATTCTTACTTCGAGTGCAAGAGATAAGGAGGCCAGAAGGACCTTGGCGAGTCAGTTACTTACTCGCAAACATTCTAGGTCAAATCTTCGAGATGGCGAGTTAAGCAGATAAGGAGCCGAGCGCAGCAATGCTCATTCATTCACTAATTCACTCTCGAGATAGCTAGCTGTCACGTCGACGCACCATCTCTCCCTGCTGCAGCCGTCGATGCTCGCTGCTGCTATCTCGACTGTGTCTTTCCCTTTTGTTTCTGGCGCAAGTTCGCTAATTAAACCAGTATTTTAAGTTCATTCTTCAGCATTTCGTCGCCTTCATCTGTGGCATTCCTGGTGGAGGTGCGTTGTACTTCATTCCAAGCCAAATGACAAGACAATGACGCCACCGGCTTCGAACGTTCCCTCCGTTGTCGTTATGCCTATCGCACTTCGGATGCCTGCTTCTTTCCACGGTGACATCTACAAAAACATTGAGGGCTTGATCAATCAGTACAAACGGGTGGCTGAGCGCAATGGGTGGACGCCTGAACAGAGCCTACAAGACTTCTACTTTCCTCTCGAGTGCACAGCGCGTGTGGCACTGGTTCGAGGATCATTAAACTTTATATATGCCATGGAACCACCTGAAAACAGAGCTTTGACGGATGTTTGCAGTTAGCACCGACGGAAGAAAGCCGATGACCTCTTTCGAACGAGGATGCAAGCCCCGCACAAAAGCGCCACCAGCTTCTTTGAAGATGCCTGAGATCACGTGCCGACTCAGAAGCCACAGACGGCAAGACGTTGCAGGTATTCATGCGTGTGGCGGGAGATGACATCTTTGGGGCATCGTCCGCAACCACCCGGAAACAGACGAATCTTTGTTCGCGCAAGAAACGAACCTGGAACGCGCCTTCCAAGCACGCGCCTCCTACAACAAATGAGATCCAGGCGTCGCTGCCTCGAGGCTGCTTAGCGACGGCATTGACGACAGTATCCGGGACATCACAGAGGTTGTCCGCGACGTCGTTCAGAGTCCGCAGGCAGCAACTCTCGGAGAGCTGCTGCCTGCGGCAAGTCCTCCGCTTTCCCTTTCCATCACCGAGGCTGTCTGACAAGAAGTTCTTCCGACGCTCCAACCAGGGGTTTCCGTCACCATGGTGGCGCGAGAAGAGCCGACGCTGAGCTACGCCGCCGTGGCCCGACGACCGCCCAATGCTACCTGCCAACACCAGGCGCAATCTCGAAGGGACAATCGAACGCCGCAGTATTCTCGGTGCTAGGGAGAACATGTCCATTACGCCCGCCCAGAGCGACCCAACCCCAAGAAAAACCAACCTCTGGCGAACGGCCGACCGACGCCCGCTCTACAAAAATTGCAGAGAAGGCGACCATGTTTACAGGCGATGCCCCACAGCAAGCTGGGCATGCTAGGGTTTGCGCCCAATCACCCTCGACCATGCCTTGGGGAGCGACGTCGGATAATCGAGTACTACCTTCGCCGCTCGATATCTCCTGAGATTTCTCCCCGAGAAGCATAAATAGCTCGCCTTCAGAGCGATACCCTAAATCGCCTCTTTTTAGGACCTGCCGTGAAAGCCCGTCTGCCTTGCTTTGCCGGGAAGCTACGCGTGGCGATACTGGGAGGTGGTAGGGGCAAGGGCGTACGAAGCAAATACCCTCCTCAAACGTCGGAAGGCTCTTTCTTACACTAGCGACACGACAGACTGAAACGACCCTATTGCCGCGGTGTCGAATAACCGTCGACTTTATTCTCGACGACCACGACGCGACGGCAGTCATCGACACAGGAGCAGACTTCCGTTTTGAGTGGGAAGTTCTTCCGTCGCCTTCTGAAAGTGATGACGGCATGGTACGGAATGCAAATACGATCCGCACGCGGACGTCTCATCGCACCAATGGGAAGGTACATTGCTCACATGGACATCCACCGGGAAAACTTTCCATTGAAATTCGCCTATACAAGAGATGTCACACTTACAATGGACTTCCTCTGTGAATACGGTGCCCTAATTGACCTTGGAAGGAACAGGTTGATGCTGCGAAAAACTATCCCTCCGTCGGAAGATCGCGACGCAACATCAGCCGCGGAACGAGTGCTTGCCGACCATCTGAACTGGCCACCGCGGTCAAGTGTCTTTCTGCCGGTCGGGATCACAATAGCTATGTGCGGTAAAGCTCTGTTTGAAGACAAAGTTCAAGTACTCATGGGAAGAGGAGAGATGCATCTCTAGGGCCGTAACGAATATCAAGGACCGTCGCACCAAAGCTCTTGTGCCGAACTTCCGAAACGGATCGTAGGACCTGAAAAAGGGCACAGTCGTAGGCCACGTCGAGAGAATGCAGGACTCAGCCGCAATCTCCTCCAGCTCCGATGAGTCCCCTTCATTGCTGTGCAAACAAACGCCGTGTTTGCAGCTTGAGATCGACGCGACCCTCCCAGCCAATGAACGACGACAACTGACTGATCTTCTCGTCCAAGACAGCGAATCTTTTGCCACGTCATCAAAGGAGCGCCAAACGAAGATTGCCATGCATCTCATGGTTATAGATAAACAGGCCCTTCCTATTCAACAATCGCCGTACCGTGTACCTGTGAAAAAACGAAAAATCATCCGAAACCGTGCTCCCGAGATGCTTGAGGACGATATCATTCAGCCTTCAAACAGTCCCTGGTCCTCCCCCGTCGTGCTGGTAAACAAGAAGGACGGAACGCTGAGACTCTGCGTGGACTATAGAAGGTTCAGTGCTGTGGCAAAGAGAGACGGATATCCACTTTCACGCATCGACGATGCACTCGATGGACTACGCTACGCCCGTTACTTCTGATTGACTGACCTGAAGAGTGGCTACTGAAAGATGGAAGTCGGCGCGCGTGATTGTTACGAGACGGACTTCGTCACGACCGATGGACACTTAGAGTGAAAGGCGATGCCTTTCGGTCATGCACGGCACCAGCCACTTTCCAGCATGCCTTGAGGGTGCTGGAGGGTGTGCCGGAGGGTGGGAAATGGCAGAGTTGTCTCGTCTACCTTCACGACGTCGTGGTCTTCTTAAGCCCCTTTGAAGAGAATCTGCGATGACTCTGCCCCATGTTCCAAGCCATCAAGACCACATGAGTGACGCTCATGCCTTCGAATTGTCGTTTCGCTTACAGAGAACTGTAGCCATTAGGCCACGTCATAAGCAACGAAGGTGTTTGTTCCTACTCAGAGAAGATACGCGTTGTGGCTGAATTTTCACAAACACGGCACAAGAGCGCAGTGAGAAGATTTCTCAGACCGTGGTGTTAGAACATGTATTTCGTAGGAGATTTTTGCAAAAATCTCTGCGTCGCTCATCCACCTTACGAAAAACACCGTATATTTTCCCTGCAAACAGGAGTAACAGCGTGTTTTTGATGAGCTGATACAAAGACTCCAGGCCTCGGATCTTCGGACATCTTTACCAGCATGCCGAGAGTGAGGTCCACAGAGACGCCAATAATATGAGAGTTGGCACGGTTCGGGTAGAAGTAGAGGAAGGCACAGAACGGATTTATCGCCTACGAAAGTCGGACGCTCTCCCTCTCAGAGAGAAATTACTCCACGACAAAAACATAGATTGCGGTCGTCTTGGTGATAACCAAGTTTCGTCTCCACTTGTACGGAAGTCCGTTCAGAGTGGTCGTACACCAACATCTGTTCTGCTGGCTTGCGAACATGAAGGATATGTCAGGATGCCTTGCCCGATGGACCATACGACTGCAAGAATTTGACATGTCCGTGATGTACAAGTCCGGCCTCAAGCACAGGGACGCTACTATAGGTCGAGGGACCCCGTCGATTCAACTCCCGCCGGCACCAAAGACGATGATGAGATTTTTCTCTGTGCGGTCAACATCGATGATATGGTGGCACTCCAAATAGACGAACCTGAACTGCGCTCACTGATCAACACATGGAAGGAGGAGAACTATAGTTTCACGTGTGTTCCCATGAGCCCTGGCAAGCTTCCACGTCAGACAAGGTGTGATTTACGAAGAGATCTTCGGGGACAACAATTCTACGTGGCTCCTGGTAATTCCAGCCGGTCTCCGACAGGTGATCATCAAACCTCCCACGACGACCCGATGACAGGGCATTTTGACTTCTGCAGGACACTGGCACGACCCGTAAAATACTACTGGCCCAACCTCCCAAAAGCCATCCACCAGTACACAAGCTCGTGCCACAAACTTCAACGACGCAAGGAACCAGCAACGAAGCCCGCAAGACTGTTGCAATCGATTGCACCAGTACCGTCTCGTTCCAGCAGATCGGAATGAATCTACTCGGGCCATTCTCTAAGTCGACGCAGTGAAATCGGTGGATAGTTGTCACGACGGACGACCTTACCCGATACGCCGAGACTAAAGCCCTCCTATTCGAAAAAGCTCTGGAAGTCACCAAGTGCTTCATTCAGTACGTCGTTTACCGTCAGGGCGCCCCTAAAGTCCTGATTATGAAGCCAATATCAGCATTTACGGCTCAGCTGACTTGGGAGGTTCTTCATCTCAGTCGCAGAAGCCACCGACGAACGAGAGCGTACCACTCGCAGACAAAAGGGCCCACGGAATGGCTCAGGCTCAACAAGACCCCCGCCTACAGATTTCCATATATGTCGACGTGCAGCACAAGACGTGTGACGAAGTGTTGCCGAACGACACGTTTGCTTATAACTCGGCAGTTTAAGAGGCTACCGGAGTGACACCATTTTTGCTGGTTCGTGAAAGAAAAGTGATGTCGATGCTCTACTCAATGGTGCCCCATAAGCCAGTTGACGGCGGGAGCGTAGACGCCCAGGTGATCAGTCAACGACCAGAGGAGGCGCACCAGCTAGCACGGCAGCGGATTCAAGGCCAACAACGTGTCGACGCCAGCAAGTACAACCTCCGCCGACGTGACGTTCATCCCAACCGGGAAACAGGGCGTGGGTGTGGACCCCGATACCACTCCGCAGCCTCAGCAAGAAGCTCTAGAAGCGCTACTTCCGACCTTACGTTGTGCTCCGTCGTCTTGGAGACCTGAATTGCGATGTGCTTCCAGACGGAACAGAGTCGTCAGGAGGGCGCCGACCGCGACCCGAGGTACTTCACGACGTTCGATTCTAGCCATTCCACACTTCAATGGGACTGTGGACTCTTTTCGTTCCCGATAACTATTCATTTTTAGTGTTCCTTTTGATTAGCCTTGTTTTGTTTCGCTCTGCATCGAGGCGATGCACTTTTATAGGTTGGAGTAAAGCCGCGTGCATGACACGAGAAGAAATGCTTCTTCGTGCATTTAGAAGTTTAGTGTTTATTCTGCCACGATTGCAAGAGATAAGGATGCCAGAATGAACTTGCCTAGCCAGTCTCGCCCTAGCAAACTCCCGAACATTCAAGGGCAAATACTTAAGATGATTAGTTTAATAGATAAGGAGCCGAGCATGATATTACAGATTAGTTAACTGAATCACTCTCCTGAAATCCAGCTGTCACGTCTGCTCACAGTCACTCGCTGCTGCCGCCGTCGACGCTGGCTGCTGGTTTCTCTATGTATGTACTTTCGTTTTGTTTCTGACACCAGTTCGCCGATTAAACCTTTATTTCTAGTGTATTATTCATTGTCTGTCGTCTTCACCCGTGACAATATGAACATATTTATTTTGATCAACGGGAATTCAGAAAAATAAAGACCATAGGTACGCACGCGTGGAGCACTTATTCTGATCGGCAGTTTATATGACGTCAGGACGAGCAGTGCACTCGTGAGTAATTAAAAAGAGCTCCAAAGCAATTATTATCGTTTTTTTATATATTTTCTATTGATACCCGTTGTACATTAGAATCGCTCAATTTCTGTTCAACTAGAGTAATAATACTAAGCGAATTTTAGTTATGTGTACACCACGACGCCGTGCACATACGTAAATCATTAAGGTAGCGAGGTTATAAAATAATAAATGCATTAGAGATAGAAGGTCAAAAACGACAGAGCAAAAAATAACACAGCAGCTTCAGGCACCTTCTAACATTTTACATAAATAAATATAAATTGTTTAATTCTTGGTGCCTTACTTTAACGTTGTCACTCTACATTCAATTATTTAGTGCCTAGTGCAATTGGAAGGGTGCCAAGGCGTGCACATTGATAACACCGATCCCATCCACGCGCTGGCGAAAACAGCCTCGATCATTTTATTTCCAGCACGTCTCCTAGGTCCGTCAGCTGGCGAAAAGCAATCTGATAATGAAAATTATGTTTAAAATTCGTATTTGATACATTCCTGGCTCTCCTGAATGTCGTCTAGTAGTGCTTTTTGCACAACCAAGAGCCTAAACACTTTGAAAAAACGTATTTGAACCTAGATTAACAGAAACATGGCTGTGTGGTGCCTTCGTTTCCGCTAAAACCTGCAGGGTAACCCATCGAACGCGAGCTCTCAGCAACCCTGGCGGGTCGAATGATGTGATAACATCATTCGACCCGTCTTGTTTGTCTACCTTCTTGTTCTTGTCCGTGTCCTTGCGCTGTTTTAATCTTTAATCATGAAATACCAACTATCCCAAACTTCTACTTTAGTCAATTTGATAACATACACATAGTAACGCTGTACATGGATACTTTTATGAAGGTCAAGGTACCACACCTTTACTCTGGTAGGAGATCGAGCAACATTGCTCGCATTGGACTCAACAACAACCAAGACTTTGCGAGGATTCGAAAAAAATCTGAGTGGGCAGCGCTTCAATATGAATTAAGTAATGTGGACGCTGTTATTTGTGTCGCTGCCAAAAAGTTGCCACAGCCAGAGCCATATTTGGCTCTGGCTGCCAACGAAGAGAGGCGTGCCTCCTTTAAGTGTTGCACGCACCACATTGAATATTGAACATTAAAAACAATTAGACAGCCTTGTTAGATTAAAAGTTACCTGATTGTTACTAAAATTCGTAGCGCGAAGCATCAAGCTCGACTACAGGGGTCCTCAAACAAACAAAACTATAGTCTCGTCGCTGGAATTCACTGCAGTTCACTGCACCCGCGATAATACCGCAAAAGTTTTCCGTTCCCAATATTATAATTCCAGTAATATATATGTAAAATGTTGACCACACTCACCTTAATGGTTGACGGCATGGTAATTTTGAGAAGATTTGGAGCTGTATTTTTGTCTGTAAGAATGTATTCACATTCGCTGTCTCGAATTGTGTATAATAACTCCCCTAAAAAGAGAGAGACAATTAAAAATTATGGCTCGCATTGGTTGTTAGTTTACAATTGCGACAGTCATTCATATCGTTTTCGTGACTTATTGGCACTTACTTGCAACGTAGGAGGTCTTTGCCATTACAAGTGTCCCTCCAGCGAATACAACCGCCAAACCTGCGGCTATATTATCGATTGTGTTCCGGACATGGGTGCATACCCTTGAGCCAGGCTTCAAGCCATGGTGTTGAAACCCAGCAGCGTACCTTCGTATTTTCCTCAAGAGATCATTGGCGGTAAGGGTCTGCTGAGAATCAACCTGGAATGAATGATCCGGTGTATACTAGCCTTGGCAAAATCAAAGGCCGCGGCATAGGTTCGGCCTCAAACCTTTCATGTCTACATCAGTCTACTTAAAGCGTCAGGTCATTTCATTCATATTACATAAATCGTGCACAACTAACTTTCGCTTCGCCACAATTTTGCCTTCGGGCTTGAAACTCTTTTCCTGACTCGCCTGACCTCCGAGTGAATTCATAATTTATGTTGCGCTTTCTACTTCAGTAGTATAGACGCTTTGCGGCAGCTGTGCATGGGCGCCGCCAAAACCGACCTTCAATTTTTGTTTCCTCCTGTCAAGTTTGCTTCAATTCGTCATGACCAGAGCCGGCAAAGGTTATGGACATTTTTAGATTCTACCTTGTCCTACTCCCAAGCATTTGCTTTTGTGGGATCTCGTCAGCGCTGGCTTTACAGACTCAACATCTGGATAAGGCAAGAGAAGGTGAGCAATGACGAATGTAATCTGGCGCATGTGTAAAGCGTCTATATATATTTCTCTTTTACTAAACTGCGGTTTCCAGAAGTGGAGGTAGGAGGCTTCTGGAGGTGACATGACGCCACCAGACGTGTATCCGGGGGAGACTTCTGGTCTGGAGAGACACGCCCCCAACGATGGCCCAAAACGAGCAAAACCAAAACACGTTATTGGACGAAACGTACAACTTTGGGTGTATTCCCTCGGACGCCACCTTTACTTTCTGCTTCAGATGAGACTTTTTTTCCTTTGGCTGGCTTGAGTCGGTATATCACCTCCTCTTCTTCCTACCTCCATGTTTCCAGACAGTGTTTGCCCGCTGAGATGACGGCACGAACTATCAGCGAAAACTGAAGGGACGTTATCTATGTGTCGTCGGATGCAGTGCATGCATGTCTGTAGCATAATTATAAGCCCTGTTTTATCGCATTCAATTCTTTTTTATTTACTTATTTATATAGATATCTTCAGGGTGCAGGGGATATTACAGAGGGGTGTAGGTAAAAACAGCAGAATAAGCAAGAATACACACACAAAATAGCAAAGGTCAACAATGCACCACTGCTGAAAAAAAATTGAGCCAATTATGCTTTAACAAAATAAATCACCCCATGGAACTTTAAATAAATTATGTTAGCTAAAATGCCTGGAGGCGGTTCGAGTCACAGTAGGTTCTAGGAATGAAGGAGTCAATGTATGGTTGGGGATTTTTAGTGAGGTAAGCCTATTTTAAATTGATGATCAACGAGCCGTAAAATAAGTGATGGTCGGAGAAAAGGTACGCCAGCCGGTGAAGCGCTAGAATGAAAATATTTGTAAAAAGGACAAGGCTGTAATATCTTTTGGCGTAATAGAATAAGAGGCAGTCTTATCTTAGTTTTCATTGGTGAGGCATTATATTTCGTTTCACCTCCAGTCCAAACACAGCCGAAGCTACGCTCGGAAGGGACAATCAGACGCTCTCAAAAGCGGGCCATCATGGTGTTCGTCAAGCTTTTGCATCTTTAGCTCATCGTCGATCCAATTATAAACGGAAAATGACCAATGACTTGCACGTTTGATGCTGCTTGATTGGTTCAACTACTTTGTAGAGTCGACTGCGTCATGACTTTAGCTGAAGCGAAGCATAGCCATGGGATGATAGACCCGAGTTTTGAAGGTAACACGTAAAAGCTGCCACCAGGTGAACACAAAGGACGGCATCAAGTAAACTCCGGTGACATTCAACAAAGCCGGATTAAACAGTACTTGGCCCTTTCCTCCCTTTCCCTAAAAGTGAAGCACACGTAACGTTTTGTTCTTATTGATCTTCTCCAAAGGTCATGTTTTTATTCACAATTGTAGCCACACCTATTTGGCAATGACCATTCGCTATATTTCAGAACGAGTCACATCTCAACAAGTCATTTTTAAAAGTAACTTGAAAGTCCCGGTGGTTACAGTGTTTCAACGAATTCTCGAATTATTCTCAATTCGAGATACTTACATTGTGTTTCTACTTGTACACCCGTGAGCGATATGAAAGTGAACAGCCCTCTTCATGTTTTTGACGCTCCTGCATGTTTTGGAACAAGCTCTGGTCCAGAAGAGGGCTATAACGGAAAATTTAGACCCCCAAGCCACTTACCATTTGAGACATTGAGAGTTAATATAGCTTTAGGGAGCCGTAAAACAGGCAAGAAACCAGGTAAAGTGTTCACCTTCATATTGCCGGCGGGTGTACGTACACAAGAAACGCATCGGATCCATACTTACAGCAATTACCTTGGTCGACAATTTCATCAAGCATTCCTGGAGCATTTGGGAAGCATGACAGTCTCTGACGTCAAAGTCAGGAAATGGCGAGTGGATCACTCGTTCTCGAATGCAGGCTGCCATCCTAGGTTGTGGATTTCGGTGCCGTAAAAGAGTGCGGTGAACAGCGTAAGGGTGCTTTCTTCCTATTGAGACGGAATCGTTATTTAATTTTGTCGATGCGACATTACTGCGACCTGTCCATGAGCACGAGGTTCGTACACCAATAGAATAGCGATAATGTGTTTAAAAAAGCTTGAGTTGACACACGCATTTAAAGGCGAGAACGCTGGATATACAGTACCCAAAATTGCGACACGTGATGCACTGCGCAGAAACAAGATCACACCTGCGATGACTGTGGTTGTTTTTGACCTAGAACACGTGTCTCACTTCAGACCACCTGTGGCGTTTGTTATCTCTCCGAAAACTCTTTTTTTTTTTTTTTTGCGGGCCCGTAACTTTAAACTACATGCACTGTATTCGTTCGTTAATAATGACGCCCGCTTTGATGATTCCCACTGGAATAGAAATTAATGTACGAGTACTTACGAGCGCGTGTGCGTGGGCGCAAAGAGAAAACAAAAGTGGGGCTTAATGAGCACTAAGGTTTACCGGCACATTGATACTTTAGAGCCCTGTTGTTGTAAAAAAAAAACGATCTCCAATCTCTGGTCTAAAAACTTGCTTTTCGTGCAAGGCTCGTCATATTATGAGGCGCTGAAGAAATACAGCATTCGGCGTTAAGTCCTTATTTTGAACTCTTTTTGTTCGCCTTCGCCCATTGAAAAACACGCGGGAAGGGCCTTAAAACGCACCTGCTATCGCTGCGCCGCAGCGCTCTTCTGCAACATAAAGTTCTTTCTCACCGTCACAATGGCAACGAACGCCGAATGAATGAAGCACGCACGGTACAACCGCGTGAAACCAGCAACAGCTGACTCCATTTTACGAACGGCGTCTGCTAGCCAAAGCCGAACGGGCTGTGTCAGCTCAACCGCCTCCGCCGGTGCGGCGCTGGCAAGGACGACGAAGCTGAGACACGCCGACGGCGATTGAGCAACAGCACCGCAGAACGGCTGCAACGGCGGCATTTATTGGGATCAAAGGCGCAAAATAAGCAAGAACAATTTTTATTTGAATCATAACACTCGATTTCCAAGTTAGGGACCACATACTTTTGCTGGGTCTTTCCTGTGAACTTTTTACAGACACGAGGTGCCGCATTCAGAGAACAGGTCCGTTTGCAAAATATAAGGGCCCTGAAAAGGGCCGTTTAGACCGCTACCAGAAGCTATAACTGACGTAATGAGCACTTGACAAGCGGTTAGCGCATAGGTCGTTTTTATACACGCAGGCGGGCGACGAGCTCAGCGCAGCGGATCACTCGAAGTCATCGGGGCTGTCGAAATCCTCGTCCTCCGCACTATAGGGAAGGACCCTGTCTGCGTCGGGGCTGTAGGTTTTGGCGGCCGTGGCGACGAACGACTGGATTCTATCAGTGTTTCCGCGCGCGTTCTCTCTCCTCCAAAACTTGAACTTTGCCAGGTGACCAGTGAAATGGTGGCTCTCGCGCCGTCCAAATGGAAGAGATTTTTCACGTGGGCCCAGGCGTCCTCCGCCGTATTGGTGTGCGCACGAGTGTTCGTGTCGACAAAGTGCAGTTTGTGGTTGAATGTGAGGTGCGTGAAGCGCACGTCATCTGCAAGCCTGCGATAGCCAGCCCAACAGTCAGTGATTACTCTTGCTCCCGGACCCACTCGGCTATTAGCCCTTGCAGGGATTTAGCTTCAAGGGTGTTCACGGGAACAAGAAAGCTGCACCGGCTGCCACGCTCCACACCGCCGAAAACCTACTGGCCAGGCCTTAAATACCCGCGATGGTACTTTCACCGCCCGAACATGCTCTCGTCTAGTTCTTCAGTCACGCCTTCGCCGCAAATCATCTCTCAATGCGTAAAGACGTCATTTACCACGACCTCCCGACAAAAACTCGCCCAATCATTTATTGTCTTACCTGCCACATCAGTCTCCCGCTGAATGACGGCGCACGGTAGGTTCTAGCACCAGAGGTAGATAATTTTCATGAGTTGGGGAAGCGTCAGGTGCGATCCCTCGAAAAATAAACCGCTCCGTACCGAGACCTCGCCCCGGCACTGAAACTTGACCGGCTTCCTCTTGTGCACCTCACGAGTCATCCACACACAGCATCCCCACGAGTTGCCATCCGTAGATTTAGCGCGGACTTGCAGCGTCATCGCAGCTTCGCACTCTGGGCACGCACGAGAACCCAGGAGCAGGCCCATGCCCTGAAAAAATTAATTGCTTCAAGAGAATCTTCGAAAGCGTCATGATGAAGGCACAAGTTAAACGCCTTTGCACTGCGATGCTCGCCTCCGACAGAATAAAGCTTCGAGGAAAACTGCGCGCTTCTTTGCATTTCTTATTTTTATTTGATCCGCCATTTTAAACCTCGTGACACCATTCTAACAAACTCATTGGTTAATCGGTCGGACCACACCACCGCGTGACAAAACAAACGCCAATCGTATGACCAGAAGGGTTACCACGGTCGGCATCGCTACAAAGAAGTGAACAGTCGGACCCAAAGACAAAATTAAGTAACAAAAGGAATAAAAAATAAAAGAAATGAGAAGGGAGCCGTTCACGGGCGGCGTGTTCTTTG